GGGGGGGGGGGGGGTGTGGCTCATTATCTCAGCATTTCGCCACCCTATTACCCCTCCTCATTTACCCTGCAACGTTCGCGAGCTCAAAACTGTAAATCTTCCTCTTTTATAGGAAGGAGTTTATTAATTTCTGAGGAAACTCTTGTGGTCCATCTTGGGGCAAGAGAAAGACTGAATTAATCATCAATTAAAGATTAATTGGCGTCCCTCTGATGAATGGCTGATATCGAAAAGTCACCTTTCCCATTTCCAATCGGTACTAAAAGAAAAAAACCTTTTAAAACGAGTGACAAGATTACTAGTTGGTGTCTCAGTAGTTTTCCATGATTGTGGCATACACAGGAATAACACTAAAACAATAAGAAATACTTCAAACAAATTTATCATGATTGAAGACCCCATTAGGCGGCAGAGGCGGAGCCAGGATTTTTCAAAAGGGGGTGGAGGGTCACATTGTGTCAAACAGAGTGTATTCACCTGATTCTCATGTCGACCTCCAGGCAGTTTTTTACCTGATTCGACAAAAAAGGCTAACAAAGGGAAAGTAACGAGCGGCCCAGGGCCCTCCCCATTGGCTAGGCCCTCGGGCAGGAGGAGAAAACAATTTGACTACGAGTATTTCCAAGAAGGATCGACGTCTTAACCCAAGGTTTACCCGTAAAAAGAAATTCCTTACTAGTCAGAAAAGGACTCGAACCCGGGATCTCCAAATGCGAATCCAACCCGTTCACCAAACGACCCCGTGTTAAATTGCCTCAAGAGAATATCATCTTTCAGTTGATGATAAATTAAGTTCTCCCTAATAAGACCCTCCACTGAGGGCCAGACGGGTCTCATTCTTTGGGGATGGGTCCAAAAACATCCTTCTACAAGAATTAGCCTGAGGTAGACACTTACCATCCGCGTCCACCTCTCTGATCATTTCATTCAGTTGTTCCTGGTCTGAACTCAACCCCAGTCTCTCCATGACTGTTTGGAGTTCGCTTGTGGTGATGGTACCATCTCCATCATGATCAAATAAGGAAAACGCCTCGCGAAACTCTACAAAACAGAGAATAACTCTTCATTTGCTTCAAATGGATGTTATGCGAAAGCAAAAGCGACCAAATTGACCAATCAACATGTATGAATAATCCTGTTTTCAGTCTTGTAAGAAAATAGTATTGATGACAATTCGCTCACAGTCGAACTGATGTAAAAGAAAATGCTGGGTCACGCAGAACTTCTGAAAAATTTATGTGTAGAGTTCCTTTTTTTACCTGAAATCACTTCTGAGGAAAGTTCACCCTGTGAAAAAAAAAAATCACAATTTTAAGTAACAACTATGCGTCATTAGACACCCCAACGGTTATCTACTCTTTAGAATTTCTGATACCGCGCTTTATCAAGACAAAATTCACTGACAGCAGTTACTATAAATCACTTGTAAACATTTGGTGTCACATAAATGTGTTTGAACTTTCTATATCTTGCTGTTTTAAAATAAATATCCAAAAATACTGCGGATCACCAAATTGTGCCACACTTGATGTTCTATGTACTCGTAATTTTCCTCGAATAAACACCTCATTCTTCCGATTGGATATGGCGTTATTTTTTCCACGGCTCCATCTGCAGCGTTTGAGTATGAACGGTAAGATAGAGTTTTACAAAATAATTTGAAGGAGTTTCTCTTTCACAACACTTTTTAAACAAAACGAAGCATTGAAAAAAGAAAGGTAGCGAAATACACATGTAGCAATCTATTTTTTCTTAAGCACTTATTACACTGGCTCTAAGCTAAAATCGTGCCCGAGCCAGGAGCGAAACTGGGTTACAACCTGAAGCTCATGTATTATGACGTGAGCGTTCTTAAAATCCCAATAAATTCCTTCCCCACCCCCCGATAAAAGAAACTCTCTGGCTAATTCGGATTGATAGCGCTAAGCCGGCTTTCAAAACTAGCCGTCACAAATAATCCCTCACTTGATTTGAAACCGAATATTTGACAATTTCCTCGGTGTTAAAATTTTCTGTGGGGCTTTCACATCCCACCTTATTATGTAATAATTATCGTCAAACATCCCCGAACCTGAATTGTCTTCGACTGTTGAAGCGATGAAATGAATTTAGAAATACGAGAGTGCAAGTTACAGGCTCAAAGGTTTGCTAGTTATAACAATGCATTTTCTTTCTTCATATATACACTCATCGAATTAATTAGCGCCATTTCGGCCTGGTAGTATTGTGTTCACCGAAATAATTAAAAAGCTTCGATGTAACAGCTTGACAACAACCCGAGACAACGCTATGGATAAGGTAAACGTTGCCAGATTCAAGCTATACCTGGACTTTGTTCAAGAAACCTGCTCTGAGCGGCTGCCATTTCAGTTTCATAATCTCTGCCGCTACTTAAAGATGCATGCATAATCCTTTACCGCAAACAGCTCATAGCTCATACACATGTAGACTTCTTTACCCTTTTACATTCTCAATAAACTAAAATACTTCAGTTATTTTTACAACTTCTTACCCCGTCGCTAATTGTCCTAGCTTTGCTGTCCTTTCGAAAACTCATCTTTCGATCTGTTGGCATCTAACGCTTTGTTCGGTTGTCTTTAAAGAATGGTATGTAAATAACTTGAAGTTATTGACTTCTTACTTACCACACAATCCAAATACAATACTCCTGGTCAATATCTGGCCTTTGTGTCGTCATCAGTTGTCTTTGTGTTTACTAGCTGCTGCGTTTAGAATCCCGTTATAATCAGACGATAATAATCAGAGGTCAGTTTAATAATACAATTCCATATTTTGTTTGTTGCCACTTGCTCGAAATGGAACACGAATTAACAGCGTAAAAAGTAAGTCATCTCCCTAAGGAATAATTTCTTTTCTTTTTCCTTAATTGCGAGAGGACAAGTCATTATCACCTTTTCTCGCCTGACAGAATGAAGTATTTAGAAAAATAACGGACGTTTGTGTCTACAGCAGTCTATGCTCTTTAGAAACTCTAGCCCGAATCTTTTCGGCTGCTAATCGCACAGTTGCTTCCTAATTGCTCCTCTGCAGCTTTTTTTTTTTCGCGCTCGATTTCAAATGCTTTCAATTAATTTTTTTTACCGTTATATCCCGTCAGTAAGAATAAGAAATATTGAAAAGAAAAAAGAGGAAGACAGGTAAAAAAAACTGTTAGTTGAACTATGCTAGCGTGAAATCCTCAGTTGAAAGTTAGATAAATGAGATGATCTAACAAACTTGGAGGTGTACCACTTTGTTCTTAATTAACCCTCTAACATCCAAGATCTGATTGTTAATTCTCTCCTCTAGCTGCTCCATATTTCCTTGTAAATTGATTAAGAGAATTTGTCGTTCAATCAAGATAATATCTTGTATGTGATGAGTTTGGGTATTCTCATTACCTGTTTGCTGGATAGTGCATGGATATTATTGGGAGAAGTTACATGTTAATCACTTCTGAGAGTTGCAGGGTTAACCTTTTAACCCCAAAGAATGACTTGCATCCTATTTCTCCTTACATCATCACCCCTAAATCAAACATTAAGGTCATGAGAATAAAGGATATGATCAACAACTAAAGAAGCTCCTGATTGTTAAACAAATTCTCCTTGTCAGCTCCTCAAGAAATGTATAGAGAAGAGTATAGAGAATTTCCATACTGATGTTAGAGTGTAAAGGGTTTATTCATTTTGACATCATATGTGATCTATCACTGAACAGGCGCACGGTAAAATGGAATCATATCTACTTGTTAACCCTCTAACTCCCGAGATCTTTTTAGTAATTCTCCTTACTGTCTGCCAAATGATTCTCATTATGTTAGTTTGGAGAATTTGGTATCGGATTAATTAGTAATCCCATAATTGATATTTGTCTTTATTCTCATCACTTGTCTGCATGATATTGCATAGATATGGTAAGGAGAAATTCTGTCTTGGTCAGTCACGGGAGTTAAAGGAGCATATAATATAATGGAACTTCCTGGGAATATCTCTTTCAGAAATCTATACTAAGGGAACCTACTATTAGAAAATGTTCCAAGAACCTTTGTCAGTTGTAACCTTCATTACCCGGGCAGCTTTATTTATGAGACTCTTACAATTACTAACCCTGAAGCTTGCTTTAAAAGAGGTTTACTATAAGGCGAGGCATATGAAAGAGCAGGTTAATAGCAGTACAAGAACCTACGAGGGTCGTCTCTGTTTTATTACAATTAATTTGCAAGGCTCTATTGTTTTGGCTGGTTTGCTATCTTTGATCTGCGACACAATTGCGCGCAAGTATGGAACAATGACTTCAGAGTGATTCTGGCACTTTAAATTGAGTGATAGACTGCAGTAGCCTTCAATTTCGCCACAACTACAATTAAAATAAGAGATGAAAATTTATTCATCCACAAAAAAACAAATCTACAAAATACCCCACAAACATAGACCAAGTGGAGCCATTAAAATAAACAATTCATTCAAATAGAGCTTTGCGTAGTAGTAACAGTTTTTCTTCTTCCAAAAACTTTCCAGTCCATCAAGCGTAAACGTTTACTTCATCATCTCGTTGACAAACTCTGCAAAAATTTTAAATGAGATAGCTCAATTAGATAAGACCCCAGTTTTTGACTACTGTATTGACCCTTTGACCCTTAAGAATGACTGGCATCTAATTTCTCCTTACAATATCACCCCTGAATCAAACGTTAAGGTAAAGAGAATGAAGGAAATGATCACCACCAAAGAGGGCTCTTGATTTTAAAACAAATTTTCCATATCACCACCTTAGGAAACGTTAAGAGAATGTCATACGGAAAATATATATAATGATGTTAGGGTGTAAAGGGCTAACTCGCACGATTCATTCAAATTCAATAATAATAATAATGGTAACTAAACAAATAAAAAGATGAAACGATAAACGTCGGTCATGCGCGAGGACATCAATTTTGGCCCCCCGGGCGCTACTTCCCCACGAGGGAAAACACAAGAAACAACCGTTTTCCCGCAAAGAAAGCGAACGAAAATTGAAACGATCATAGAAATCTGTAAAAATTAATGTTGAAAAACATTTTCAGTGCAACAAGAATCTATTACGCTGCGGCGGGTATACGAACAGAGCCTCGCTCCAAAATACCCAGCATGCTAGACGCGCAAGAAAGTAACGCAGAGCGTGACAGAATGACTCTAATCACCGCGGTTTAAACACTCGCTTTAATAAGGCTACATCACTATGTTTACATTTCTTTCGAAACACTTACTGTCAAAGTTGACCCGTCCATTTCGCTCCATGAACTTGATTATATCCTCTATTTCTTCTTTAGAGATTTTGATGTCTTTGCTTTGTTTTTGCACGGCCATAAGCAGTTTTAGCAGCTCGTCGCTTGTAAAGTATCCCTTGTTTTCGGTGTCGTATGCTTTAAAAGCTTCTCTCACCTCCTGCTCACTTCCTTGCTTCATCTGTTTTACCATGAGTTCTGCAAACTCCTCGAAATCGATCTCTCCACTACCTGTCGGCAGGATTATGAGGCGATCAAACTAAATTTACGCTAGAAATACTGAGGTATCCTCCCAATGTCCGTGAAGTCGAACAAGGCCATTGGTTTAGGCGTAATCAGGCGGTTCAGTATAACCCTTGTCGAGTATGTAACCCTAAACTAAAGCCCCATTGAAGGTGTTGGGGGGGGGGGGGGGGAAGGGGAAGGAGTTCCAACCGGCCTGATATCAGTTGAATCCACCCATGGGGTTCAAATCCCCGCTGGTATAGCCGTCAGGGCCCGGAATGGAAGAACCGCAGGTCTCCCAACCACTAGTAGGCTTCTGCTCGAGATGAAGACTTTAGAAACAGCAATAATATCACTGCAGGGAGGAAATTCAAACTTTCTCCTGTTACATTTCACCTTTTTATACCCTCTTTCGGGTATCCCGTAATACTCCCTTCTCGTAGGTTCGATTACCAGCCGCTGTTTGGAGAATGGACCTCCAAACACACCTTGTGGTTTCCTCTCAAGAGGATCGAAGACCAGACTCGAGAAAACGGCGGGAATCGAGCCATCAAAACATAAAACACAAAATTGGCTTTATAACATAACACTTGACTGGTAAACAAATTGAAATTTAGTGATGGAATATCTCAAGGTGTTCATTCATCCTCTGCTTCAGTTCAAATTAGAATTTGGATATTTGGTCACCTTTATGAACAGAAGAGAAAACAAATGCAACGCAAACTGCTCAGAAAAAACCTCGCAGCATAGCTAGAACCCAACATCATCCCACGGGCTGGCTGGGATCGACCAAAAGCCACAGTACGGGTGGCAGAAACAGCGTTTTCTCAAGTGTTATCCCAGGTCTGTTCCTCGCCTCTACGATTTGAGCTAAAATGAGACAACGTACGTGTCGCCTGCGGGACAGAGGTAACGCCAGTTCTCACGCACACGTCTTAAAGTTACTTACCATCTTCGTCGACTTCCGACAGCATTTCCTTCACCTCTTCCTTAGTGGCCATCATCCCGAGGTTCTTCATGACGAGAAGCAGCTCATCCGTTGTGATCGTTTCGCTGTTATCAACATCGAAGATCTTGAAGGCTTCTCTGAATTCTGAAGCACAGAAGCACAGGGATTCTATTCAGTTAGTGCGATTAGTGCCATGATCATGTGTTTCGTTCACGCGGTCTACAATACCACTGGTTGTTTTTTTAATCTTGCCGCAGCTGTGCGTGACTACCAATAAGTCACTTTATGAAATTGCGAAACAAATCGAAAATTGGTGGAGAAATTGCGTGACAACTCCGCAGTTAGTGGCGAAATTGCGTGACAACTCAACAGTTGATGAAGAAGTTGAGTAACAACACGACAAATGGTTAGGAAGTTGCATGAAATAACGACGATTAACTATCAAGTTGCGTGACGACTCGACATTTGATGATAAAGATGTGTAAAACTCGACAATTGGTGGATGGAACTGCGTGACAAGTCGACATTTCGCGTTTCCAGAAACAGAGCTTAAAAACAATTGGCTTTGCCCCCAGGTACCTGATAAGTGCTACTACAAACTGGGCTACAAAGGAACATGTTGGGGGCGAGACAAAACTGTGAGGATTCATTGCTCTGTGCACCAAAATAATGTATGAATTGAGGCACCTTTGACATTCTTTGAATATGAAATAACAAATAATAATTTATTCTTACAGCTGGGCTACCGTAAGGCATCGAGTATGATTTAATAAGTATAGCAGAAATGACACAGCTTTGACATATCATTAACAACATTGGTATCGAGGTCATGTTTGGGTATACTGCTCGTTCTGATCACTATAACTGTAACAACTGCTCCTCACCACAGGCTGCCCAAGCTCATGTAAAAAATGAACGGAAACGCGACTCTTGCTTACCTTTCAGCTGCTCTGGAGTCAGTGATGCCGACTGAAGCAAATGAAAGAAATGTTAATTGTACTACAGTGTGATAAAAAAATTGATCCTTTGTCACGCAACAGAAGTCACACCACGCAACAATAATACAAACTAGCAAATGTGAATTAAAGCTGTATAATTACTAAGCTTCTAAATCTTTAGACAAACCTAACTTTATGTCTGATAAACAACAAAAGCAATTTTGCAGAAATAATTAATGAAACTTAAGAAAAACCTGGACGCAGATTGCACACGCTCATTTAATACAACCAGAATCCTTGTGACAGCTACAGCAAAGGTAAATCGAAAATAAAATAACGATCAATCGCATTAATTTTATCACAAGTAACTATTCGGCGATAATTTTCGCGACTTATCTTATGGACACAGGGATTAGACGCTTCTAATTTGTTTGCAATCAAATTTCGGTGTTGAGCGTAAGAGAAAGGTACGCTTTTCGCTTCGTATAATTTGTCAAACCAAGCGGCCACGCGTGATCTTTTACGGTGGATCTGTCTTCCGATGTTTTAATACTCTCGCCTTATCCGAGATCACAGCGGCACTCGACTAATTACGAAAGCATAAACAGACAAATTTGATCGACATACAAATTCAGTGACTGTGTCGAGTAACTACACTGTACGAGCTTTTTCAAAACTACATGGACACCTCTCTAGAAATCAGAGAGATTTTCTTTTTCGAGCTGTTTGAGCACAGACTAGGAAGGATTCAAACGCAGTAAATGCTTGCAAAATGAGAGAAAACACGCCAAATCTACTACAGCTGCATTGTTTACATTCCTGAACTGACCAATGCATTCCGAGAAGTTAAAAGTTTGCTGTTCGCATTGCAGCGGATTGTTTCGCTTGGTGTTTTCCGATCACTGAACCCTCATTATAAGAGTTAATAGTCCAAGAAAAGAAATCAAATCGAATAACATTATTAATGACAAAAGTAAGAATAAAAATTAAGATTCGGAGCGGAAGATTAGTACTGGGCGGTGTATAAACAACCGATGAAGAACATAATTCGGTCTGTTTTGAATTTGGATCTCTCTGATTTGCGGAAATTAATCCTCTACCTCTACAAATACGAGGATGACGACGACATTTAGCAATAACTCTATAATTGTGTTAGTTTAGGGGCTCTACTAATCGGGACTATCGACATACAGCGTCATGTCGAAAACCATGAAACTTTCGGTTGAAAATGACTCAACATTCAACTAACAGCACGCGGGGTCCAAAGTGAAATACGCAAAAAGTCGACAAGTGAGATTCACTTACCATTTTGCTGGTGGACAATTAAACCGATTAATACTGATTTTCCCAAAAATTGCCGCTATCGCTGAGAGTGAAGCGAGAGAATACAACCCAAGACAGGAACAATGAAATTACAAAAATTCCCAACCCTAATTCTAGGTTATTGTGTTTCAAGCCACGCGATAAATGGATAATTGTTCTGATCACTGGACCGTGCCTTGTATATTGTGTCTCACAGGGGTAGGGGGCGTGTAGGAAATTTGCAAGTTTCAATCCCTTGATCGCTTGAAACAAAAGCCCTTTGTATCTTTAGTTAGTAAAAGACACACTAAGAACTGTTATGTGCAAGAAAAATATTCCCCTTTAAGCGGCAGAACCGTGGTCTGTTCGCAAAAACGTGTAAACTATGACTTGGACCCGACCCTTCATAAATTTCAATTGTCGCGCATATATCCTCGAGGTAACGCAATGGCTTTTCTCAAATCTGTTCGTCACATTTCGCCTTTAGTTTGATTATTCGTCTTTTGCAAACGTGCAGCAATTTACAAACGCAATCACACTTTTTTCCATTGATTTTTTCTGTTTCTAAATAGCCATATACGATACACCAGAAAACATGTTCAACTTTTCAGTATTCGTGACTCTTAGGACGACAGTATTTTTCAAAACCGATTCAATAGTTTACCATATATAGGCATTAAGTTGGCACAGTTTGCAATGCTCCGGAGTTTAGGAAAACGCACAGACTCCGTGCGTGAGACTCCACAGGGGTATTTCTTAGGGGGGAGGGATGGGGAACCAGGGCGGTGTGTTCAAACAAAAGGCTAATTATAAATGCGCTCGAATTAAGAAAGATAAACTAGAAATAATCATGGATCAGCAAAAAGTGCGTTCGATCTAGCGTAGAAATAGATATTTTTTTCACCGCGTTAACAAAATCCAGTGAAGCTACGAACATCCAGAACTAAGCGAGTGTGCCCGAGGATAACACTCAGCTAACGAGCCTATTAAGTAATGGGCTCCTGGCCAACAGAATTCACAGCTCTTGTATGATATCGAGGCGAGTGGTCGGCCAGTTTATATGGCGCCCCAAAACTGAAATGGCAGAGCATCTAGAAAGAAGCGACACGTGTACTACGCGTCCTCTTAACTTCGAACGCAATAAATGAATAACATTTTAATACTTTGCTTTTTTGAAATATTTCAGTGCTGCAGGAGTTGCTTAAAGATAGCACATTTCTTCGAATAGCTGAGTCTAGAATTTTAGTTCGAGTCTCAAAGTCAACACCCAGTGTATTATTTAGGCAGGGGCGCGCCGTGCCATGCTGCAGTTCAAATGTTGGGCAAAGCGTAAGCCGAGAAAGGCCTCGGTATTAGTTAAAAAAAGGTCCTTGACGTGAATATGAGTTATTCTAAGCGAAAAAAAATCGCAGATCGTTCGATTCGATTCGAACCGAGTCATCAATACTTGGGACTTTTAACTGAACTCTGCACAGCGCACAACGAAAATTTTTTATTTTCAGACAAGGGAAACTTTTTCGGCGACATGCATCAAGTTCCGACAATTTTACATCAAACGGTCTTGAGGTAGGCCAAGGATTTTATATTAATTATTGTTATCATTAAAATTTTAAACTGGGAGGTACAGACAAAGGACCTTGAACATGTTCCAGGAGCTTGTTTTGTGAGCTTAGTCATATCGGGGTATGATTGGTCAATCGAAAAATTAACGCACAGGGAGAGCCAATTTGCTTTTCTTAAACAAGCATCTCATTAAAAATTATATGATTTCGTACGGATCACAAACGAATTCGCTCGTCAGTGCTCTCCAAGAACGGTTAAGCAATACAAGATGAAAGTGAGGGTCGCCGCTTTTTTGCTGTTGCTTTTCATCGCTTATCATCACGGTAAGAATTTAATGTAAAATGTAGATATAAGCACTGACAGAAAGGCTGGATAGCCATTTTCATACGGTAAATTGCCTTAACGTAGACTGAAGAGGTAAGAGATGCTTACGCTGAGATGAATAAAACGCACCTTACTCGGAAACAAAAGTAATCATGACGTTTTTTTCTGAGTAAGGTCCCTCTCTCCCGTAAGTCGCTATTTCGACATAACCTCACTCACTAAACATCTTTCCAGAATTGTAGTGCGAGATGAAAATGCAGCTCATTTCGTATTTATTCAAACTTCAAACTTTGCTGGTTATTCTGGTAATTGCTATTAAGTCATGATGTGAAATAGGCCTATAGGCAGTGATAAGAGCTGGATAGGTATCAAGTTACAATAAAGTCTCGCATGTACATGTAAACACTAACATACACTTACTCGGCAATAGAAGTGATTTGTGTACTCTTTCTTGTGAATTCAGGGTTATCTACACAAAGCCCCTCTTAATGTCTCTGCAGAATATGATCTAAAGCAGTGAAAGTTGAAATATGTTCTTATGGGCAACCAGAATTTCAAAGTGTCCAGAATTAATACTTTATGCAAAGCCTTCATGATTGTTGAAATAGATTTCATAACGCCGGGGTAATTATTCCTGCCCGGTATGAGGATTTTTATCTGCTTTTTTCCTTTTAACTAGGCTAAAAGACATCTATAAAATTGATCAGGAATTTCTAACCAGGTTAAGAAAACAAAAATTATTCGAACTTCTGCAATAACCAAGATCTATCGCGATAATTTAAGAAACGTTTGCAACCGCCATATAAAATTCATTTTAAAAATTCGAAATTAAATATTTGAAAGTTCATCTAGTATTCTTTTGTAGTCAGCCACCGGTTAATTCATTGTAATGCAAATTCTTAGTCTTGATGAACCTTAAAATCGCTCAGCACTATAACTACGTTTAAAAAATGTAATAAATTGATTGCGTCCCTTGCCAACCGAAAAAACAGCATAAGTGTTAGCCTGCATGTGCGAGTCCTGCATATTAGGTCTGTTGCTTCGCAATTCTACAGTTTTTGTTTTTAGTACGAGAACTCTGCCCTAAGAAAGCGGTTATGCATGCAAATGGTAATATATGTTTAGAATATTTTGATGAACCACCCAAAACGTGAGATTGTTCAAGCTATGCAATGATTTAATGTACCATTTTTAAATGATCTGCTCTCAAGATTGTATATGGTGTCAAGTGGCGAATTTTATCAGCTGGTTGAATGAGGCGGGCTGCCTTCGGTTTACTGAGATCTCAATTAAATGCGCAAAAGTTCGGATGTGGGAGTTGAAATATAAATAATGAACCACAGGTTTGAAGAAGAAACGAATAACATCATCACTGGTTAGTCTGGGGCGGGATCGTTGATTTTTTTTGCTTTCTTTGGCTCGGCCAGAGTTCAAGTTTTTCATCCTAATTCATTTTCTCAGGCGGTTTATTGTTTCCCAATAGGCTTGTACGACTGATAATTATGTTTAATCACCAACTCTAATAACACTACAACTCACTATTTATGAGAAAAATTCTCAGTACTTTCTATGTAAAATCTTGAATAATGTATAACCGTGAAGAGTTTGAAAGGAAAATGAATAATGCCAGTACATATCTAAGGAATAATAAATGATTCCGAGTGCAAGTATTCAGCTTCCACTCCTTCAGTTTAATTCACACTGAGTCCATTCCCTTTTTCTCTTTTCAAGGCCGCTCATTTAAAATTGATAATATTTATCACATTACGCACGAAAATCAAGATTCGTATGCCATAGATCGGGGCCCAGTTGTATAAAGGACGGATAATGCTATCCAACGGATCATCGGATAAATTGCTATCCGGTCGATAAGTGATAGCAAATCATATTCTATTATCCACCGTATAGAGATTTATCTGGTGAATAGCGTTATCCAATCTTTGAACAACCGGGGCGGCTATTTAATATGTACTTGTCGGTGAGTTGTGCCCATTCACTGCCTCCGTTGTCGGCTGTGTCATGAGAGTTTTAAGAGGCCACGCTCATCAAAAGTGCTTCAATATACAAAATACTAATGGTCAAAATTTCTTAACTTGATTTTCTTAGTATCAAGTCTGGAATGTAATTCTTGTACAAGTTCAACCTCGTGGGACGATTGTAAAGTTTCACAGGAAAAGTGTCTTCCCCAACAAAACCAATGCATCAAGGTCTACTTTAAGTATGGCGGAAGTGAAATATTCTCCAAGGGCTGTGCTCATGAGCTCTCTTGTGGAAGCTCAGAAAATCCTATCTGTGGAGAAGCCGTTGGCTCTGATTTCACTTGTGATATCACCTGTTGCAATGACAAAGACAACTGTAACGCAGGCTCAGCCCTATCTTTCAGCAGTTTCTTATTCTTGGCATGCGCATCGGCGTCATTAATGTTTTACGTGAAATTTTGACATTACAGCTCAGTTGCATGTTCAGGTTTTGGGAATATTTGTTTTCAGATGATAGGGTTTAGTAAATTTAAAAAAGAAAAAATAAAAACGTTTTGTGTTGTATAACAATTACTTACGATTGATAACGTTTGATTTTTAGAGGCTCAGAAAACCTCAGGCTTGTTTGTTATCATGGATGGACATTTCAGAAAAATATCAATTTATGCTACCAGCACTCCAAACGCTGGGTTGTTTATTT